ACGAGTCTGTGTGCAAAATGTCAGCTCGATTGGATCACGGGAAGTGGGTTAAAACACGACCGAAAGATTTGCACGGTCGTAAGCGCGCAAGCAAGCAAGTGAACTTAATATAAAGGATTTAAAAACATTCCCATTAGGGAGACAATGGGCACCACCAGTGACGATGATTTGAACCGGTCCTGGGCCTCCCCTATGTCAACTTAGCCTCAAATGAGAAACTGGTGCGATGTGTAAAAAACATTCCCACTAGGGAGACAAAGGTGGCCGGGCGTGGTGCTGGCCACCCACCCCCTTGTGTGTGGTGCCGGCCTTCATAGGTGCTCGCTAACAGCACTTGCCCCAACAGTCTGTTCAGGCTATACGGGGGATCTTTGTCTTTGAGAGTAAAAATGTCAAAATAACATCAGCTCGGTGGCATATACATTTAAAGAATGCAAAACATTCGCTCGGTTTCCTTTATAAAACACACGCACCCCACACAAAGATCTCCCCATACAGCCTTTGACAGACTTTTGACGGCCAGAACGACACACAAGGGGGTTGGCCAACATCACGCCCGGCCGCCTTTGTCTCCCCAATGGGGATGTTTACAGACCGCACCAGGTACTCATTTGAGGATGAGTCGACTTAGAGGAGGCCCAGGACCGGTTCAGATAATCGTCACTGGTGTTGTTCGTGAGCAGGAATCGAACTCGGGTGACTGGATTCGTAGCACAGCGCGCTCACCGCTCCACTACCCCTCCCTACCGCTCTCGCACAAAGGCATACACACACACAGGCGCGCACATACAGGCACACACACAGGCACACACAGACGGGCATACATACACACACAGGCACACACATGCACACGTACACAGGAAAACACACATGCACACACAGGCACATACACACACGCGTTTTCTCCTTGCACAGGTTCCATCTGAAACTCGCGCCAGCCCCAAACACAAACAAACAGAGAGCACAGAGCTCCCGTGTTCCCACGTGCTCATTCTCCTCAACATCTCCCACCTCCCCCTCCAACTCTCCCCTCTACCTCCTCGTAATTCACCTCCCCCTCAACCTCTCCCTCCTCCCCCTCTCTCTCCCCTCCACCTCCTAATTCACCTCCTCCCCTCCTCCACCTCCCATTCCACATCCAACTCGTCATCCTCCACCACGTCTCCCTCATCTTCCTACTGCTGCTGCTCCAACCCATCCTCTTCCTCCATCTCCTCCTCCACTACCTTCTCCACCTTCTTCTCCAACCCCTCCTCCTCCCCCTCCCTCTCTCCTCCTCTTTCATCACAGCGTCAACATGAGACCATTCACCTGCATGGACCATACTGCCCTTACGTCTCAGCGAGCAAATACACGCGCATCCTCTGGGTGTGTGGTGCTTGTAGAAGGGCAGATGATGGGATGTGTGGTGGGTATATGGTATGATGTTATGTATATGGTATGATACGTATTCTACTGTGTGCATGGCGTATATGGTTTTATGCTGTGTGGTGTGATGCTGTTCGCCTGATCGCGTGTGTATGCTGCTACGTGTATGTTGTATACGTGTATGGTGTGGCGTGCTGCCGTGTGGCATACTGCCACGTGGTGTGCTGTTGTAAAACCATGTGGTGTAATAACGTTGCAGTGTGATGCGGTGTGATGTGCTGGTGTAACATCATGTGGTGTGCTTGTGTGTGCGTGTTGACAATTATCTGAATGGGTCCTGGGCCTCCCCTAGGTCAACTCAACCTCAAATGAGTACCTGGTGCAGTGTGTAAACATCGCCACTAGGGTGACAAAAGACATGTGATGTGACACCGTGTGGTGTGACACAGCCTGCTGTGTGGTGTGACACTGTATGGCATCGGCGCATCCACACAACATCATGGATGCATGCCGGGTCCAAGCAAGAACATCTGCTAGACTACATAGTGACAGAACAGCAGATGCGGGCCCATGTCCTTGACACCAGGACCAAGCCCATAGTGGCCTGGTCTCAGCTAGCTAATGGCATTGTCCCCCACTCCTGATGTCGAGGGGAAATGGGCGAGGTTTAGGACTGTGGCTCATGTAGCTGCAATGGCTGCGTTGGGTACACGGTCCAGACCTCCCCAGAGACCCTGGCTGACAAGCCCACTCTCATCGTCTACAACATCCCAAATCAGAGAATGAGGAAACTTACCGCAGCCTTCGCTCGGAAGTTCAGAGAGCCGTGAGGTGTTGCAAGGATGGGTGATGGTCGCGGGTTGCTGAGGAGATGGGATCTGCCTCAGTGGCCCGCGATCACAAATCGCTCTTTAATTCCATCAAAAAAGTAACTTGCAGCGCCACACTTATTACCATCATTAGGGGAAAGAACGGTGATCCAATCTCCAACCCCCAGGAACAGGTTTGCAGATTTGCTGAGCACTTCTGTGAGGTTCTGGGGGAGGGGAAATCCCTCAGCCTGGAAAACATCATGGGGCAAAGTGGGGATGACCCTGCTGAGCCTGCGTTGCCTCTGATTGTAGGAATAAGTCACCCCCTGTGAGTGGCTGGCTGAGGTGCCATCTGTTGAGGAAGTACTGAAGGCGATCCAGAGTCTGAGACCAGGAAAGGCACCGGGCAGAGATGATCTCCCAAGCAAAATGCTGAATGAAGGTGGCGTTTGTGCACAGACTGCCCTACATGACATCATAACAGTCTGGACCACTGGACGGGTTCCGAAGGATTGGAAGGATGCCCTGGTGGTTCCCCTCTTTAAGATGGGGGACTGCACCGACTGTAACAACTACAGGGGCATCTCACTCCTCAGTGTGCCGGGAATGGTCCTGGCAAGGATTATTCAACATCGCCTTGCCAGGCACCCTGAGGAGAGGCTTGCAGAGCCCCAATGTGGTTTTAGGAAAGGGCGGTCCTGCACAGATGCCATATTTTTTGTCTGTCTGTTACAGCAAAGGTGTAGGGAATTCCAACAAGAGCTACATTTCTGCTTTATTGACCTGGTCAAGGCCTATGATACTATCAGTTGGCCTGGGCTCTGGGTTGTTTTTCGTGCTGTTGGAGTCTCCGACTCCCGCCTCACGATCATTAAGGACCTTCATGATGGTAAAACTACGTGGCCGGGAGTGGGAGCCATTCCCTGTTAACCTTGGGGTGCGACAGGGATGTCGTTTGGCTCCCACATTACTTAACATCTATTTTGACCACGTAGTTCGTGAAGCCTTTAATTGCTGTACCGGAGGAATTTCCATCTGGTACAGGTGTAGTGGCATAGCACTGGCTGCTGGCAGAAAAAGAGATCTGCGGCATACAGCAGTTCTGACGTCAGCAGGCCAGGATATACACGAGAGGATCTAGGGGAAAGTCACAGAAGGAGCCCACCAGGAACCCGCTAGTAGGTTCCAGAAAGGGGGCGTGGCCGGGGGTGGAGTGAGGCCACGCAGAGAGTGTAAGAGGGGCCCCTGTAGGAGACCTCGGGGCTGTTGTTGGAGTGGGATCCTTGTCGCGCTGCTGAAGTCCTTCGTCACCATTCTTCTCGTCGTCTTCACCATTCTTCTCGTTGTCGTCTCCGTCTCTACCATCTTGGGGTGCTACTAGTCATTCAGCCTACCAACTGTCCTGGCTGAGTAGTGTCGCCAATAATAGATGTGTGTTAACCCTGATGGTACTTGTTAATAAAAAAGTGCCTCCAAATCTTATTGTCTACAAGTTGGCCACTACACAGATACAATGGGAGGCTGATCGATGCCCCGGTGCGGTCAAGGGATGGCTCCCTATTGGTCAACCATGTTATGTATGCCGATGATCTGGTAATTGCTGCTCACTCAGAGGAGGAGTTGGAGGCGCTGCTGCTGAACCAGGAGCGTGCCACTAAGAGGTGGGGCCTTACCATCAGCCCCACCAAAACTAAGCACCTGCCTGGGTATTTTATACCATAGGACACTCCACCCCCACAACTCCCAATTGGTGATGGGGCAGTTGTGGAGAGAGTGGAGAGTTTCCCATACCTGGGCAGTGTGCTCATGACTGGTTCCGGTTTGACAGCAGAGGTCACGCTCCGAATCAGTCGAGCGGCATTATCTTTTCATCGGTTGCATAACGCTGTGTGGAAGCTACCTGGTCTGTCACTCCACACTAAGCTTCGGGTCTTCTCGGCCACAGTCATGCCCTCCCTTCTCTACGCTTGTGAAACGTGGACCCCCCTAATGGAACATCTTCGCCAGCTATAAACATTTAGGCTGGCCTGCCTATGATCCATTCTGGGTTTAACCAGGCTGGATTGTGTGAGGAACTCGCAAATCATTTAAAGATTTGGGCAAAGTCCCATCGGTGTGCTCCTCCTGTAGGCAAGGCTGCGTTGGCTGGGCCATGTAGCCCGCATGCCTAGCCACCGCATGCCTAAACAGCTTCTGTTCGGCCGGATAGAGGGTGCTAAACAGGCACTGAACGTGCTGGAGAAGAGATGGAGTGATGTGATACAGGAGGATGTGGAGCTGAGTGGACTTGCCAATGACTGGAACCAGCGGTGCCAAGATCGACCTCTGGAGGAGGCTCCTGCAGACGCTACTGGTCAGTTGGAGACAGTCGCCCTCTAACAACAACGGAGGGCAGAGGAGCGATGCTCACAACAACGAGCAGAGCGCCGGGTGGCTAAAGCACGGCAAGTTGGCACAGTAGGGGGCACAGGTGGTGCATCGGCCACTCATCTCAGTCAGTTGACCCGTGGCACCGGGGTCTGCCCCGTGACCTCCTGCCAGCGGGCGTTCGACACTTCACGTGGTAGCCTCAAGGTGCACATGGCCTGGCACAAGCGCCGTGGTAACGTCACCGCCACTTAGTGGCGAATGGCGGTTGTTGTTGTGACACTGTGTGGTGTGACACTTCCGTTTGGTGTGACCCCGCATGATGTGTAGTGTGACACTGCGTAACATGTGGTGTGACAGTGCCGTGGGGTGTGACACCACGTGATGTGTAGTGTGACACTGCCGTGGGGTGTGACAGTGCCGTGTGGTGTGACACTGCTGTGCGGAGTGCAGGAGGTGTAATGAAGATGTGCTCCATGCGCGTGCTCTGCCGCGCTGCCGAGTCAGCCCCCCCCGCGGGGGTGCGCGTCCACTGCTGCCACGGCGACCGCTGCAATGAGAAATCTGGGGGGCATGGCCTTCCCCGCGCGGGACCGGTCACGTGGCTACCCCCCCTCCTCTTCCTCCTCGTTCTCCTGTTGGGGGTCGCTACCTAGGTCATGGGATGACAGGGACACCAACTCACACCAATGCACTCAATAACACTCACAAATACACACATTAATACACTCACTCACGAATACACACGAACACTCAGTAATACACATACTTACTCATACATGCACTCACTAAGACGCGCACTAATCCACACACTCAATAACACTCACTCACACTCACACTAATGCATTCACACACTAACACTCACTAATACACACACCTCACACTGATAGCAATACCAATACCCGCCATTCCCCACCTGTGCCAGGCCAGGTGCAATTTGAGGACACGTGAAGTGTCGAAGGCTTGCTGACAGGAGGTCTCGGGAGAGACCCAGGTGCCATGGGTTGGCTGACTGACATGACTGGAAGATACACCAGCTGTACCCCCTACTGTGCTAACTGCCTCCAACTGTCCAGTAGCGTCCTTCACGAGCCTTCACAGAGGCCGATCTTGACACCGCTGGTACTCGTCGTCAGCAAGTCCAATTAGCTCCACATCTTCTTGTACCACATCACTCCATCTCTTCTCTACCCGGTGCCGCAACTGTTTAGCCCCCTCTATCCAGCCGAACAAAAGCCGTTTAGGCATGCGGTGGCTGGGCATGCAGGCTACATGACTCAGCCAACGCAGCCTTGCCTGCCAGAGGAGCTCACTGATGGGACTTTGTCCAGAACTTTCAAGGATTTGTGAGCTCTTCACACAATCTAGCCTGGGCAAACCAAATGATGAATCGTAGGCAGGCCAGCCTAAATATTCCCTACCGGTGAAAATGTTTGTAAGCAGAGAGAAGAGATGGCATGACCGTGGCCAAGAAGACCCGAAGCTTCGTGAGGAGCGACAGACCAGGTAGCTTCCACACAGCGTTATGCAGCCCAAGAAAAGATAATGCTACTCGATTGATCCACTCTCTACACAACTGTCCCATCACAAATGGGGAGTTGAGGGGGTGGGGTGTTTGATGGCACAAAATACCCAGGGAGGTGTTTAGTTTTGGTGGGGCTGATGGTAAGGCCCCACCTTTTAGTGGCATGCTTCAGGTTCAGCAGCAGCACCTCCAACTCCTCTTCTGAGTGAGCAGTAATCACCAGATTATCAGAAAACATAACATGGCATTGATCAGCCTCCCATTGTATCTGTACCTGATGGAGATTCCTCCGGTACAGCCGTAAAAGGTTTCATGAACTACGTGATCGAAAAATATGTTAAATCATGTGGGAGCCAGAGGACATCCTTGTGGCACCCCAAGGTGAACAGGGAATGGCTCCGACTCCCAGCCACGTAGTTTTACCAGAGCCTGCCCACCATCATGAAGGTCCTTAATGATTGTGAGTCAGGGACTCGGAAAGCACGAAAAACAACCCAGAGCCCAGGCCTACTGATGGTGTCATAGGCCTTGACCAGGTCAATAAAGCAAGGATGTAGGTCTTCTTGGAATTCCCTACACCTCTGCTGTACCATATAGCATCTGTGCAGGACTGCCCTGGCCTGAACCACATTGGGGCTCCGCAAGCCTCTCCTCAGCGTGCCTGGCAAGGCGATGTTGTATAATCCTTATTCTTTGGTTCTTTCGGTAAAGTCACGTAGGTATAAAATATAATCCTTGCTAGGACCTTTCCCGGCACACTGAGGAGGTAGATGCCCCTCTAGTTGTTACAGTCTGTGCGGTCCACCTTATTAAAGAGGAGGACTATTAGGGTATCCTTCAAATCCAGCGGAACCCGTCCAGTGGTCCAGGATGTTATTATGATGTCATATAGGGCAGTCTGCGGACAAACACCACCCTCCCTCAGCATTTAACTTGGGAGATCATCTCTGCCCGGCGCTTTTTTGGTCTTAGACTCTGAAACGACTTCTGTACTTCCTCAACAGATAGCACTTCAGCCAGCCAGTCACAGGAGGTGACTACTTACAATATTTGAGGCACAACAGCCGCAGCAGGGTGATCCACACTTTGTACCATGATGTTTTCTTGGCTGAGGAATTTCCCCTCCCCCAAGACCTCACATAAATGTTTAGAACATCTGCAAACCTGTTCTTGGGGGTCGGAGATTGGATAAGCTTTCTTCCCCCTAATGATGGTGATAGGTGTGGTGCTATAAGTTACTTTTCTGTTGGAGTTAAAGAGTATGCTTTTGGTCTTTCGGTAAAGTCACGTAGATAGGTTCAAATAAAATAAAAACTAAAAACTACGACGTTTAAATCACAACACAAGCGATCGCTTGTTTTGTGATTGAAACGTAGTATTTGTAATTTTTTTTGTTATTTTCTTTGAACCAATCTACGTGACTTTACTGAAAGACCAAAAGAATATGAATCCATCTCCTCAGCAACCCGTGAACACCACCCACCCTTACAGCACCGCACGGCTCTCCGAACCTCTGAGCGACGGCTGCAGTAAACCTCCTCATTCTCCGACGTGGGATGCTGTCGATGGTGGGAGTGGGCCTGTCACTTTTTCTTAGCCATCCAGAACACCTCTATCAGCCAGGGCTTCTGGGGAGGTTTTCACTGTGTACCCAAAGCAGCCATTGCAGCTGCATGAGCCACAGTCCTAAACCTCGCCCATTTCCCCTTGGCATCAGGAGGAGGGTTTGACGATGCCAACCCCAGCTGCAAGTGATGATGAAATTCTGGCTTGCTACTTTCATCAGCTAACTGAGACCAGGCCACTGCAGGTTTGTATGGGGTGTTAGATATACACCCATTACTGGAGTGAAAGAATGGTAGGCGCATCTTCAGTGGCCAGATCAGCTCCAAAGTAGGTCCTAGTGTCAAGGACATGGGCCCGTATCCATTGTTTCATCACTATAAAGTCCAGTTCTTACTTGTGTAGAGGAGTAAAATGGGAACGTGACGTCATGTGTTCAGTGCGATGACGTCACGTCTCCTAGAGTACTTAAGGGAGACCCCGTGACGAAAGCGGGGTCACTGTGGGAACGGGTAGAGTACAAAGGGTGAAGAGAGAACCAGGGGTAGAGAGGGATCGAGTAGTGAGTCTGGGGAGAAGCCGGTGGTAGCCGATAGAGGTGCTCTCTCTCCGGTCGGTGAAGTTGGCAGAGTCCCCGATCCGACACGAGAGAGAGAGACTGGAGCTAGCCGGGCAGGGACCAGGACTCGGTGTAGGACCCCTAGCCCCTGGAAGTTGTGTACCCTTGTGTGTATTTGTGAAGTCTTTAATAAACCCTTGGTGAAAGGCCATAACTTACCTCCGTCTCCGAGTGCGTCCGTGGGAACCCATCAACACTTGGACCCGGCATGCATCCGTGAAGTTGTTTAGATGCGCCGATGCTGGAACAGCGTGTTAGTAACTACAAGCTCATGGGCTGTACAGAAGTCTAACAGCCTCCTACTGTTATTGAGCTCATCTGGCCCATGCTTTCCAATCACTCCAGCCCAGGTGCCAGCATCATGACCGACTCGGACATTAAAGTCACCCAACAGAATGACGCTATCCTGAGGGGCCACTGTAGCTAGCACCTGTGACAGGTCATAGAAAGCACGTGACTCATCGGCCTTCCCTGCATCCCTTCACTGATGTTCATCTTCGGTGGGGGCATAAGTAGCCACCACGATTACTCCTCGCCTCAGATTGATGGGAAGGCCAGCCCACAGCTTCCCACACACCGTACTGCCACGCTCCCACGCCCCGTTCGTTCTTTTGTACAAAAGAAGAGCTATCCCCTGTAGTTTGGCAGCCACCTGCCTCGAGTAGAGGACGTTCCATCCCTCATGGTGACTGGAGCCATAACCAGTCCACTGGGCCTCTTGAATACTGCAGAGATCCAAGCGGTACCGGTCCAGCTCCTGACAAAAGAGTGGCAGCCTCTCCTCCGCAGTGAGCGTTCAAACATTACAGGTGGCCAATTGCCACGAGGGGAATGGCCAATTTAGAATTGTTCCACCCCCCATGGCACTGCTCACCACAGCGTTACTGTCACTCACCCCAATACAATCACGAAGACTCACGCTAATACAAACATTCACTAACACTCACACTCTCAAGAATACACACATTACCACTCACGGTAATACACACTCTCACTAACACTCTCACTCACCCACCCACTAACAGTGGCTAACAGTCACACTAATACACGCACTCCCTAACACTCACCCACTAACTTATACTGCAGATTAGTCAATCACACAGTCACTCACTCAGTAGCTTAGTCACTCACCCAGTCACTCACTCAGCAGCTTAGTCACTCACCCAGTCACTCACTCAGCAGCTTAGTCACTCACTCAGTCACTCACTCATCAGCTTAGTCACTCACCCAGTCACTCACTCAGCAGCTTAGTCACTCACCCAGTCACTCAGCAGCTTATTCACTCACCAAGTCACTCACTCAGCAGCTTAGTCACTCACCCAGTCACTCACTCAGTAGCTTAATCACTCACCAAGTCACTCACTCAGCAGCTTAGTCACTCACCCAGTCACTCACCCAGTCACTCACTCAGTCACTCACTCAGTAGTTTAGTCACTCACCCAGTCACTCACCCAGTCACTCACTCAGCAGCTTAGTCACTCACTCAGTCACTCACCCTGTCACTCACTCAGCAGCTTAGTCACTCACCCAATCACTCACTCAGCAGCTTAGTCACTCAATCAGTCACTCACCCAGTCACTCACTCAGCAGCTTAGTCACTCACCCAGTCACTCACTCAGCAGCTTAGTCGCTCACCCAGTCACTCACCCAGCAGCTTAGTCACTCACTCAGTCACTCACTCAGCAGCTTAGTCACTCACCCAGTCACTCACTCAGCAGCTTAGTCACTCACTCAGTCACTCACTCAGCAGCTTAGTCACTCACTCAGTCACTCACCCAGTCACTCACTCAGCAGCTTAGTCACTCACTCAGTCACTCACTCAGCAGCTTACTCACCCAGTCACTCACTCAGCAGCTTAGTCACTCACTCAGTCACTCACTCAGTAGCTTAGTCACTCACTCAGTCACTCACTCATCAGCTTAGTCACTCACCCAGGCACTCACTCAGCAGCTTAGTCACTCACTCAGTCACTCACTCAGTAGCTTAGTCACTCACTCAGTCACTCACCCAGTCAATCACTCAGCAGCTTAGTCACTCACCCAGTCACTCACCCAGTCACTCACTCAGCAGCTTAGTCACTCACCCAGTCACTCACCCAGCAGCTTAGTCACTCAGTCACTCACTCAGTCACTCACTCAGCAGCTTAGTCACTCACTCAGTCACTTACTCAGCAGCTTAGTCACTCACCCAGTCACTCACTCAGCAGCTTAGTCACTCAATCAGTCACTCACCCAGTCACTCAGCAGCTTAGTCACTCACCCAGTCACTCACCCAGTCACTCACTCAGTCACTCACTCAGTAGTTTAGTCACTCACCCAGTCACTCACCCAGTCACTCACTCAGCAGCTTAGTCACTCACTCAGTCACTCACCCTGTCACTCACTCAGCAGCTTAGTCACTCACCCAATCACTCACTCAGCAGCTTAGTCACTCAATCAGTCACTCACCCAGTCACTCACTCAGCAGCTTAGTCACTCACCCAGTCACTCACTCAGCAGCTTAGTCACTCACCCAGTCACTCACCCAGCAGCTTAGTCACTCACTCAGTCACTCACTCAGCAGCTTAGTCACTCACCCAGTCACTCACTCAGCAGCTTAGTCACTCACTCAGTCACTCACTCAGCAGCTTAGTCACTCACTCAGTCACTCACCCAGTCACTCACTCAGCAGCTTAGTCACTCACTCAGTCACTCACTCAGCAGCTTACTCACCCAGTCACTCACTCAGCAGCTTAGTCACTCACTCAGTCACTCACTCAGTAGCTTAGTCACTCACTCAGTCACTCACTCATCAGCTTAGTCACTCACCCAGTCACTCACTCAGCAGCTTAGTCACTCACTCAGTCACTCACTCAGTAGCTTAGTCACTCACTCAGTCACTCACCCAGTCAATCACTCAGCAGCTTAGTCACTCACCCAGTCACTCACCCAGTCACTCACTCAGCAGCTTAGTCACTCACCCAGTCACTCACCCAGCAGCTTAGTCACTCAGTCACTCACTCAGTCACTCACTCGGCAGCTTAGTCACTCACTCAGTCACTTACTCAGCAGCTTAGTCACTCACCCAGTCACTCACTCAGCAGCTTAGTCACTCAATCAGTCACTCACCCAGTCACTCAGCAGCTTAGTCACTCACCCAGTCACTCACTCAGCAGCTTAGTCACTCAATCAGTCACTCACCCAGTCACTCACTGAGCAGCTTAGTCACTCACCCAGTCACTCACCCAGTCACTCACTCAGCAGCTTAGTCACTCACCCAGTCACTCACTCGGCAGCTTAGTCACTCACTCAGTCACTCACTCAGTCACTCACCCAGTCACTCACTCAGTCATTCACTCAGCAGCTTAGTCACTCACCCAGTCACTCACTCAGCAGCTTAGTCACTCACTCAGTCACTCACTCAGCAGCTTAGTCACTCACTCAGTCACTCACTCAGCAGCTTAGTCACTCACTCAGTCACTCACTCAGTCACCCACCCAGTCACCCACCCAGTCACTAACTCAGTCACCCACCCAGTCACCCACTCAGTCACTCACCCAGTCACTCACTCAGTAGCTTCATAGTCACCAACTTACAATAATTGTAATGAACAAGGGCATCGCTGTCAGAGTCGTTATCCCCACGTGGCTATAACTGCAGATTGTGCTCAATCTCGGGATGTGTGGTCTGTCGCTGATGCTCATCTGTCGGGTGATGGAATGCACCGCTCCACTGCTGGATGAAGAAAGCCTCCCCACGCCTCTCACTGTGTTGCTTGGCCATACTACACCACGCCGGTCAACATGGATTGGGAAAGGACGGAGATAATTGCAGTTAATATGAAGCTCCGTTTCTAATTCATTGTTGGTGATTGGTGAAAGAGGACATGGATATTAATGGCAATTGGTGGTAATTTAATGACGGCGGATTTTATTGGGCGGTGATGGTGACGAGTGACAATGGGCCATGGTGAGTGGGCGGCGCTGAGATCGGAGGCGCAGTGCGCCGGTTGGGCCTGGACAGGGCCCACCGCGGTGCATGCCAGGTGCTACAGGCTGCTGCTGCTGTGGGGGGGGGGGGGGGGCTAAGGCAGTGCAGCTACTCTCATTGTTGTCATGCAGTCTGTTCTACAATGACGCGGTAGTTGCGTTCTTCAAGAACGCCGCGTTGTGGAAAAATCGCGTTATAATTGTATATCTTTCTCGTCTATATGTATAAAAGGTAAATGTGTGAATGTGTGTGTCTGTTCGAAATGTTTAGTATACTTCCCGACATGCAACAAACGTGAAATTTCGCACGTGGGTAGCTTCCAGACTGTTCACAATGCAATAATGGATATATTTTGTACGGCAAGTGAGCGGTGACGTCACATCTGTGATGTCACAGCGTCACGCAGTGTGCCTGCTGACGTCACGCACCCCCCCACCCTCCGCGTTGGCCGTGTGTCCCGCACAAATGCGCGGCTTTTTGGGGGGGGGGGAAGGAAATAATGGATATAATAGACTAGGACTAAACTATTAATTTCCGTGCGAAGAACGGGTCCACCTGCTAGTTGTATAAAGAGAGGAGGTAGAGCACATCGAGGCGCGTCCGCAGGGCCGCACAAGCATCCAGCAGCATCCCGCCCTGTGGGAGGCAGCCGTACCACCGCTGATTCCCACTCGCTTGACGTCGTTCTGTTCACCCCGATCGCGTTATAGCCAATTCGCATCCGCGTTATATAAAAAGAGGTGTTTCCTACAATATTCATCGCGTTACATCCATCTAGCGTTATTAAAACACGCGTTGTAGGAGAATGGGCTGCACTCTGTCCTGGTGAAGTATGGTCAACGAACTCTGCACAAACCCGCGCTGACCAGTCTGGTGAAGTATGGTCAACGAACTCTGCACAAACCGGCGCGACGTCTGGAGTCGCTTCCCATTGACAGTGGTGGTGGTAGTTGCTCACTAAATCGGTGTTCGTGTTAATTGTGTGGTAATGGTCATCGTCTGTTGTTTCGATGTGGCTGTGGTCATCGTGAAAGAGTTGATGGCGGCGCTTAGCATCGCGTTCCTGGAGGTGGGGGGAGGGGCTCCGGGGGAGGGGGTGAGCTGATCACGTGACACGCGCCCACAACAACACGCGCCGTGAGCCCAACACGTGGTGAGCACCTGGACCACAGCCCCCAGCCCCACAGCACCACCACACCACCCCCCATCAGCTCCCACCTCACCACAGTTCCCACCCCACTACCTCACTTCAGCCCCCACCACACCACCCCCATCAGCTCCCACCTCACCACAGCCCCCACCCCCCATCAGACTCCTCCCCCGCCCTGTGTGGATTGCACCAGGGGGAGGCCACGTGGAGGTGGAGGGGACGAGGTTGGGGTTCGGGCAGCTCGGAAAGATCTCCAAGACCCCCTCCTCACACTCGATTTGGAGCTTTCGTGACTGCAGGAATGACCACAACACGAAGACACGGAGAGTTGCTCTCTCCTTGATCTCCTATTGCAGCTCCATCTCTTCAGCTACTCTCTTTCTCTCTTGCTCTCTCTCCATCGCTCTCCTCCTCCCTCAACCTCCTGCACCTCTCCTCCCGTGACCCCCTTCCTCCTCCCTCTCTTCTCCATCCACCTCCTCCTCTCCTCACCACTCCACCCTCTTCCCTACCTCTCTCGTCCCGCCGCCTCCTCTCCTGCATCTCTCCTCCCATCTCGATCATTCCATCCTCCCTCTCGTACAAACCACCCCTCCTCTCCTCCCTCCTCCCCGGTCGCTCTCTCCCTCACGCCTCCTCCAAGGAGATCCCTTGGCTCACCGCGCGTCTCCCCACTCTGCCGATCCCCACCTCACCCGCGTTCCGCTCTCACTTCTTCACCTCGTGGGCTGCGGTGAGGTCAGCGTGCACACTGGAAGTGTAGGTGAGTGTGTAGGTGAGTGTGTGTGTGTGGGGAGTAGTGGTTAGCGTGGTGCGATGTGCAAACATCTCTACGAGGGAGACAAATGCGACCAGGCGTGGTGCTAAACATCCACCCTGTGTGCTATGCCGGCCTTCACAGGTGCTCACTAACAGCACTTGCCCCAACAGTCTGTTAAAGGCTATACGGGGGATCTTGGTATTGTCTAGTGTGGCTTAGTGAGAGTGTGACTGTGGGTGAGATAGTTGTAGATACAATGGGAGGCTGATCGATGCCTCGAGGGATGGCTCCCAATTGGTCAACCATGTTACGTATGCCGATGATCTGATGATTGCTGCTTACTCAGAGGTGGAGTTGGAGGCGCTACTGCTGAACCTGGAGCGTCCCACTAAGAGGTGGGGCCTTCTCATTAGCCCCGCATAAACCTGCTTGGGTATTTGTGTCATCAAACAATCCAGCCCCTCTACTCCCCATGAGTGATGGGGCAGTTGTGGAGAGAGTGAAGAAGTTGCCTTACCAAGGCGGTGTGCTTATGACCATCTCCGGTTTGGCAGCAGAATTCTCACTCTGAATCAGTCAAGCGGCATTATCTTTTCCTCAGCTGCGTAACGCTGTGTGGACGTTTCTTGACTTGTCACTCCACACGTGGCAATGTCCCAGTGGGCACGTGAAGTGATTCATAAATTTGTGAAATTATATCATATATGAATAATCACGTATGAAGCTGTCAATATATAATAAGTACAATACAATTTTAATCCATATGGTAACCTCGAAAGATATAAAATACCTTTCTAAACTCATTGAACGTAAGCAATGTGGTTTCCAAGAGTAACCAGCGAGCGCGAACAAATTACATCATTCGTGCAGAGCGTCCGTTGAATTTTTGTATTCGCTTGCGGGTACTAGCTAGTTAGGATACCTCACAAAATGGATAATGGGTTACAATATTGATGTTCATTTTTCATACATTTATTTCTCAGAACCATTTTGAGTCCTTCAAAGGGGGTACATTCGGTTGAAACTAAATTTTAACAAGGGGAGTACAGAGTAGCCAATAAAAGGTTGAGAACCACTGCTTCAAAGGAACATCTGTGTCGGTTTGAAAATTTCAGGCTGGCCTGCCCATGATTAATTTTTGGTTTAATCAGACTGGATTGTGTGAGGAGCACATATATCCTTAGAATACCTGGATACAGTCCCATCGGAGAGCTCTTCCTGCAGGCGAGGCTGTGTTGGCTGGCTCATGTAGCCCACATGCCCAACCATTGCATGTTCTGTTTGGCCGGATAGACAGGGGTAAACGGGCATGGCACCGGCTGGAAAAGAGATGGACTGATACGGTAAATGAGGATGTGGAGCTGAGTGGACTTTTCGATGACTGGTACCAGCGGTGCCAAGAAATGCCTCTATGGAGTAGGCTTGTGATGGAAACCACTGGGCAGGTGGAGGCAGTCGCCCTCCAACAATAGCGGAGGGCAGAGGAGCAATGCTCACAACAACGAGCAGAACGCCGGACGGCTGATACATAGCAAGTAGGCACAGTAGTGGCACAGGTGGTGCGCCTGTTCGGTGACCTAACAATGAGCCGTTGACAATTCACATGGCTTCATAGTGCGCCGAAATTGGCACAAGCGCTGTGGTGACGTCACCGCTGCTTAGTGTTGTTGTTGGTGAGAGTGAAGTCCATGTGGGCGCCTGGGTTTGGATTCCCACCAGGATCACCGTGTCCCTGTGGTCAGCTCGTGCGTGACTGTTCACTGTGCCTTCATGTTTTCTGTACCATGCCCACCCACTACCAGCCCCCACTCTGCCGTCACCCCTTAATATGACCCTCACTGGGGGTCGCCCTGACTCCACCAATAACCTCAGCTGTGAACCACTGACTTCATAAGTGACCAGTTCAACATCAATCACATCAGCACCTCCACACACACACAGAAAAATACATTGGCACCACCATCACTGCCAACATCACCATCACTGTCCAAGCCAAAAACATCACCGCCATCACAATATCGTCAGCGTCACCACCATCATAAACATCACTGCCATTTTGTTTCTAGATTTGAAGCTTTCGTGACTGCAAGGAGTCATATTTTTAGGTTTTTTCGGTAAAGTCACGTAGGTAAAAAAATTTAATTAATAAAAGTAAAATAAAATAAAAATCACGACATTTCTGATGCAATACAAGCTTCCGTCTTCAGGTGGAACCGTCACAGCACGATAGCTGTATCAAGTAAGAGAAATTCCAAGAAAACAGTCCTTGTATATATATACTGGTTGAGGGTGGGAGGAGCCAAGGTAGGCCCTGAATATTATTTTTGTGAGGTTCTGTGCGGCTGAAGCACGGTGTTAGGAATGAGTCTTTGTTGTGTAGAATGGTTGAACTGGGAGGTTCTAAGAGTTGTTCAGGTGCGGCTGATGTAAAGGTGCGGCTGCTGTGAATGGGACTGAGCCTTTGTTATGTAGATGAAACAGCACTTTGTTACGTTGCTGGGATTAATTCTAGATTTGCCAAATATGTGTGGTAAAACTTAAAGTAGGAAAACCAGTGTGTGAAAAAAGAAGAAACTATACGGTAACTGAAGAATAGTGCCTGTCAAATAAGATGGTCCAAATATGTGTAGTTAAATCTTTTTTTCAAGCTGGGAGAGCTGTAGCAGGACATCGTGACCCGTGGGTGAAGGATACAAACAGGACTTGACTGAGGAGGCCTTGTCTGTAATAGAGGAGTGGGACGTGGGGGTGAAATGGATGTTTATACCGTGAATGAAGTCTCAGAGCCAACCTCGACCCTTAACACGGGTTTAGGCCTCGCATTTTAACTGCACACTAGAAATATCTAACTCGAACCCTAAACTAGGCCTAACTCTACCTCTAACCCAATCCTACCTCGAACCATAAATGAAACATAACTCCTAACCCAGTCCTAACCATAGCGCAGTATCAACTCTCACCCTAACCCCTATCCCTGATCCTTTATTCATTGATCAGTTCCCAGCCACAACCCTACCCCTACTCTACCCCTAACCCATGCCTGTCTCTCACACGCTCCCTAACAATACCGCTAACCCAGCCACAACCCTACCCCTAACTCAGGCCTGCCTTTCACCGTCTCCCGACTAATAACGCTAACGCAGTCACAACCCTACCCCTAACCCACGCCTACCTCTCACCCTCTCCCAACCAATACCTCAAATGCAGCCACAACCCTCCCCCATTGTACCTCGACCCATCACCCTCCCTAGGTGTCTAACTATTCCTTGTCTCTCCTCTAGGCTTACGATTCCTTTGTGCTGCAGCTAAACTCACCGGAACTCACCTGCGCACGGCCCTGCTCTCCCTGACCCTCCTTGCTCTCCTCCTGGCCAGCACCCCATATACTTTGGATCCCAGTCCACTTGGGCACCAACTCCCTTTACTAGTGGTGTGGGGGCCCGAGGCAGGGACATGGGGATTCCTCAGTGGCTGGTGCTAGTGTTGTTGGGGTGCGTGGGGGTCACAATGAAGTCAGACCGCGCTGGGGACCCCGCAGGGTCCCAGGTCCCTTTGCCCTGGTCTGAAGGACCCAAGGGGTCCTGGAGTGGCAAAATAGCGGCCGTGGTGGAACACAACAACAACAAGACCGTGCCCATTGAACTCTTAAACAACAACAACAACCAGACTGTTTCTAGAAGGATGTTAATGAACAATACAACTATGACCAACAAGCCTATGAGCCATAAACGCTCAGCCCGCAAGAAGAACCAAAGTAATTTATCTAGCAGACTCACGAACAACAACAAGCAGGTCGACACGCACAGGCTCGGGAGGACAGCCATGGGCAGTGACAAAAAAAGAAGAGCCAGGAACAACGGCACAACCAGCGCAACACGCACCACGACTACACACAGCCAAGGGCCACCTGGCACCCATAACCAGAACTCTAAAACAACCACCACCACCAACCACAACTCTAAAACACCCACAACTACCACCACCAGCCACAACTTTAAAACACCCACAACTACCACCACCACCAACCACAACTATAAAAGACCCAGCACCACCAACCACAACTCTAAAACACCCACAACTACCACTACCAACCACAACTCTAAAAGACCCACCAAACACAACTCTAAAACCCCCACCACTACCAACCACAACACTAAAACCCCCACCACCACCAAGCCTAAAACACCTACGACTACCAACCACAACTCTAACCCACCCCCCACCACCTCCCACAACTCTAAAACACCCACAACCACCACCAACAGCCACAACTCTAAAACACCCACAACCACCACCAACAGCCACAACTCTAAAACACCCACAACCACCACCAACAGACACAACTCTAAAATCCCCACCACCGCCAACCACAACTCAAAAACACCCACAACCACCACCAACCACAATTCTAAAACACCCACAACCACCACCAACCACAACTCTAAAACACCCACAACCACCACCAACCACAACTCTAAAACACCCACAACCACCACCAACAGCCACAACTCTAAAACACCCACCACTACAACAGTCAAGCACAAGGCACGCATAAACAAACCAGCTGCAAACCCCAACAAGAAACACACAACTACCACACGCAGCAACAATAAAACTCGCATTAGCCACAACAACAACAAACAAAGCACCACTCAAACAACCATTAATAATGGCCGAACCACCACCAACAACCACAAAAACGCCACCACCAACACTCACATTAAAACTACTACCACTGCTAGTCACAACCACCACGACCACCGCCATAACCACCACCACAGCACGGACAGCGTCATAACTGGACCGAACCATCACTTGAATGGGTCTCAATGCAACAGGACCAGATCAGCACCATCATGCGCCTCATCATCAGTCGCAGCGGCATCATCACTAGAACCATCAGCAGAGCCGTGGAGAGGCGGGGGTGGGGGGCTCCAGGAGCGACGGGGGGCCCAGGACGAAAGGGCCGTGACCGCAATGACCCCCCTAAGCCAGAATGGCCGCCGGCGAGAGAGAACCCTCCATCCAGCCACGCTACTCGCGAGGTGCGTGGAGCATACAACATCATCAACATCAACAGTGTCGTCACAAACTTCATCATCAACACTGCCATCAGCATTAACTTCATCAACAACACTGCCATCATCATCACTGCCATCGGCATCAACTTCATGTATATATGTATGTTGTATGTATGTTTAACTTTTTTAGCACCGTACATAGCCAACCGTACTAATCAGAGGTGCGGGGGAAGGACAACAAACTCAACACAAAAATAATTTTTAAAGAAATGGGGTGTCCATCTAGATTTAAAAGTGCATAGCACTTCCGAATATCAGAAGGCAGAGTGTTCAAGATGGCTGCAGAAGTGCATCTTAAAACGTGCGATGCAGTGACGCAGGCTTTGTTCTATGGTTAGCCAAAAGCCGCTGTGAGGATTACCGGAGTTCGCGTGATTGTTTATGCTCCTTGACTAGATCAGCAAGGTATTGTGGTTCATTTGTGACAAGCACTTTGTGCATAATGAGTGCAACCTGATAATATATTCGTTTGGCAACCAGATGCCATTTCAGCTCAGCGAGTACTGGATGGACATCGTCGGATTTTGAGTACCTATCACGACACGTGCCAAAGAATTTGTACACGCTGCAGCTTCGTAATGTTTATGCCAGACGTCTCGTAGAGTGAGTTTCCATAATTGAGCTTTGTAGAGTCTATGCTACACACCACCCTGTTGGCTTTGTCACTACTCAATAGTGGTCGAATGTGTCATTGAGTCCTGATATTAAAATTGCAGGACCTGACTATATTTTGCACGTGGTGATCAAACGACATATTCTGGTTGGGTATGTACCTTCAAACAGCAAAAAAGACCTGGGTTTCAAACAGAAAGAGAACAAATAATAGATTTCATCAGACACATGGCAAAGAATAGAGGAAATGAAACAGCTGAAAGCTAAGCTACTGAACACGAAGTCACAGAGGATCCAGGAACAGATCCGGTTGGCCTACAAGAGCAGAGACAAGGAGGTAAAGAGGGGCGCCAGGAGAGACACAAGCGCTTTTGTGAAGGACATGGCAAACAAAGCCGATAGAGATGCAGCCATTGGCGATATGGTTACTTTGTACAAGATTATTAAACGTTTGCGGCAAAAAACAACCAATTAGCCCCTGTCAAGGACCAAAATGGAAAAAATATCACTGCTGAGCGTGAACAAGCATTAAGATGGGTCCAACATTTCCTAGAGGTACTCAACCATCATGATCCAGAACAACCGGCTAACCCTACAACAACTGACAATGTCCTCAACATCAACATCAACTCACCTGACATGGCTGCACCACATAATCTGTGGTGACTTGAAGTGTCCCGGACTAACTGGTGCTTGTGATAAAATCAACAGCGAGTTTGCCAAGAGCATTGACAGTCACAGTTGAACCCAGCACGCCAGCGACGCAACATGTCGCTTGGGAAAATGTACTGGATCACATCTTCATATCCGCCAATGCTGTAACTGTGACCAACGTTATCGCAGATGTGGGTATTTCAGATCACAGTCTCATCATGAGCAAAGTGGTATTACCGATGACTCGCCCACCTGTCACAACGATATTATACAGAGACTGGAAACAACTGGACCATGATGATTTCTATCAGAAGATCTGGTCATCATCGGCGTGTCTGAATCATGCATAGACGGCCAATTAATTTACAGCTCAATTAGGAAATTGCATCACTGCTGTTCTTGATGAACTCGTACCCATATATTATCAGAGTATGTTTTTTGCTTACAGCTCAATTAGGAAATTGCATCACTGCTGTTCTTGATGAACTCGTACCCATATATTATCAGAGTATGTTTTTTGCTTGCATTTTGACCACAAGTATTGTGGTTAATGCAGACATGATTCCTTGTAAAAGGTTTCAGTTTGGTGTTTTAACATCTTAACACCTGTTTTGTTGCCAGATGAAAAGGGGAAACCCCTATTCTCAGTTAATGAGTCGCTTTAGGACTTTCACGCAGGTGTCTTCATGGTGAATCAGTGCAATACCACCATGCAGGCTGCTGGTACCAGGCTTCCCACAACGGTGCTTATGCACAACAGCGTATCCCTTCGATGCAGCCTCATGCTTAATTACGTCTGGTGAGTCGTCATATGTCCAGGTTTCTGTAACAGCCAATATGTGGAGTCCACACTCGTTGATCATATCCTGGATGAGCACCGTCTTGTTGACGATAGGGCGTGCATTGGCCAATCCAAAGTTGAGGAACCCTGGTTCAGGGTTTGGCTCGATACCCGACATTAGCAGCAGTATAGCGATGAATACGCTCCTTTGTGGTCGTGTGGATGTCGGGTAGAAGCAGAGGCGACCAGATCTGCAGCACAACGATGTACACAGCATCGCAATAAGTGACGCACACGGCTGGGTAGGGGTCAGCATTTCCACAGCAGATCGTAGCAAAGTGGGTGCAGAACTCAACTAGTTTGTGTGCTGTATGTGTACTGCGTGTATACTATGTGTGTACTGCGTGCGTGCTGTATGTGTACTGCGTGTGTACTCTGTACTGCGTGGTATGTGCTGCGTGTGTACTATGTGCACTGTAAATGTACTGTGTGTGCTGCGTGTGTACTGTTTGCATCAGGTATGTACTGTGTGTGCTGCATGTTTACTGTGTGTGCCGCGTATGTACTGTGTGCGTGATGCGTGTGTACTGTGTGTGTGATGCGTGTGTACTGTGTGTGTGCTACCAGCTGCCCCGAATTGTGCAACACGGCGCGCTGCCCCCTGCTGCCCCCCTCGGGCTGCCCCCAGGGGGAGGTGTGGGACCCGTGTGGCTGCTGCCATCAGTGCGGCCTCCCCGAGGGGACCCTGTGCCTCCCAGCGGCCTGGGATCCCTGCGGAAGGGGACTCGTGTGCAGGGCCGGTGCGTCACGGGGGTACATGTGGGTATACGTGGGGGCAGACAGGGATACACTCTGGGTTTAAAAAGGTTGAAAGGTTTATTAGAAATGTAATATCACCCCCACTCAAGGGGGAATCACAACATTGCACAGTCTCAAAAGATACACTCTGGTGAAAACGATAAAACACAGTATAGTTAAGAAAATGCAATGAGAAAGCAGTGAGTCCCACATTCCGTCCGGCAAGCACATCGACCGCAGTGGAATGAGAGACCAACCAGGCCCATAGACATGCACGTCCAAGACTGTGCGGAGCTTTATAGGCTAAAATAGCAAGCTTGTACTGGATGTGAATGCTTACTGGAACTCGGTGCAGATCGTGGAGAGTGGGAGCTGCGCCTCAGCATTCGAGCTGCTAAAGCTTCACTGGCTGAAGCTTCTGCACGAGGACAGATGGAAGCTCTGCATAAAGGATATTGCCATAGTCTAGGCATAGCGATACAAAGGCATGGGTTGATTATACAAGGTCATGAGCTGCCAACAGGCATGCAGGAACTAATTGACGAGGTACAACATTGTTGATGGCAGAGCATCAGAGTAAACAATCATGCTTCTCAACTTGCTTGACAGTGGTGCCCCAAAATGGGAATAAATAGATCCAGCCATATCAAACCGAGTAGGTTCCATGAGCCCCTTGGACCGGATTCAATGAAGCTCGGATCCACTACACCATCTGAGAGGGGTATGAGTACCTCTCATGACGAAACCCTGAATCACCCCATCATCAGCCCATGAGGGGGGAAAGAAAGCTAAGTTCCCCATTCTGTTACCGCCTGAGTGAAGATGAGGTCCAGTGTGTGGCTGTGATCATGAGTTGCACCACACATAGACTGGGTGAAACCCATGGACCCCATGGTGGCCAATAGATCTATGGCAAGTTAATCCGTGGAATCATCGACCCAAGAGTTGAAATTTCCCAGCACAATAGTACAGGGGAATTGCAAACTTAGCGGGGAGATTACCTGGATAAATTATGCACAGCATCACTCCTGTAGCCGTGTGGCCTTTACACAAGGATGATATACATGCCATGACTCCCGTTTGTGGCAGAATGCAGGTCTGATACTCAAACGACCTGACCTTAGATCCAGGATGGATGGTACATATCAGATCAGACTTAAAAATTATGGCTACACCCTCGCCTCTCTTACTATCTGGTCAAGGTTGATCACAACCCTCGCGCAGCCAAGGTGGGGGCATCCCACAGCAATTGTGTCGCACACTAATGGGGCGTAAACAATGCAGAGCTGACCTTGCATTCAGAAGCGCGATGGCAAGGGTGGGCTCCTGAACATCCCGAGTGACCATAGGTTGCAGCACAACATTACGCTGGATAGGAATATTAACCAGGGAGCAAGTCCGATGGGCTTCGATGCCCGCTTTCCTATACCTGGGTACCTGCTCGATCCCCTGAGTGGAGAGCTGCAGGGCCGGCTCTGCCCAAGCCGCTGGGACCCAGAGATGCAAGCACCTCGACAGGCTGCCTCTGCCATGACAGTCCGGGGAATCTTTCCTGGGAGGCAGGGGAGGGGGCTCCTGATGAAGGTACCTGAATGATACAAGTGCGGAGGGAATGATAGCTCTAAACACACAGGGGAGGAAGAAAAGAAACACTCTGAACAAGCCTCCAAAACCACTAACAGCACCCAATCTCAAATAGACAAATACAGACGAAGGTGAATAGGCCCTAGCCCTGACTCTTCCTGGCATCTGGGAGGCCAAGGATGGACTTGTACATGCAGTACACACAGGGGTACACATAGGAGTACACGAGGGTGCACACGGGTACACGGGGGTAAACAGTAGTAGACAGAGGTACACACGGATATTCATTAGGCTACGTATAATGATACACACACAGGGGTATCCACGAGGATAGACAGGGATATACACGAGGGTACACGCAGGGGTACACATCAGGATACCCCTGCGTGTACAGCAGTCACGAAAGCTCCAAAATTAGGATAGAAAGAGACACAATTTATAACGCGCATATCTTGCGAATTGGACCCAAAGCTTCAAGTTCCTGGTACACCACCCTGAACAGGCGAAAGCCTGAATAGGTGAGTCACTGAATGGGAGAGTCACTGAACAGGTGAGTCTCTGAACAGGTGAGTCTGTGATCAGGTGAGAGCCTAAACGGGTGAGAGCTTGAACGGGTGATTCACTGAATGGTTGAGTCACTGAATAGGTAAGAGCTTGAGCTTGGATGTGGATGGTGCTTGGATGTTGCTGCTGCGTATGTGCAGGGAGAGAGAGGTCAAGATGGCCGCTGGTGCAGCTACGGAGAAATGCCATTCAGCCGGGACAGTGGGGGGTAGTGGACGCTGCTACAATGGGTATGGTCTTTCTCTGCAATACCCCGAATGTTCAACCACGAGCATCAACTCGCGCCCCGATGGGCTGCCCGTTCTCGCTCATCGGATTGGTGGGTCGTGAATGGGAAGAGCGGATTGGTGGAATGGTTCAAACCGCGAAAGCCCAGGGAAATTAATGGATTTATAAAGGTCGGTAAAGATCCGCTGGTGAACTCAGGGCTATTGAAGGGCAAGGATCAGTTGAGAAGGTGCCAGAATGCGGCAAAACATACAATAAAAGCAATCGACTCCCTTCAACATGTCGGCTTTCGCGGCCAATATTATTCAAGATAACGTTTTTTTGGGTTAGATCGCGTGAATTTAAATTTGTTGTAAACCCACCTCCACCCAACACATTCATTCATTTATTGCGCATAGTCAGCGAAGGACCGTTGCACCAAACAGCATTCGCATAAACTGCTCTTACGGCCGTACACCAGCATCTCAAGTGATTTGTTTGATCCATGGATCACTGCAGGGGAGGGGGGGGGTACCACGGGGGCGGCTCCATTTTTTTCAGGGTCGCAGTCCATTTTGAAAATCAACCGCAAACCGAAATGCGCAATTTTTCGCATCAATAGGGACGACGTGTCCAAAAAGTGACAGCCGTCTCACTCGAACTAAGCTCCCAATCGCTAGGAAACCGGTCGCAGATGCCATGGTGACATTACTAACGAAGTTAAACCATCAGATGCCAAGAAGGTGTCTTTGGCATCACATGTGAAAGAACTGCAGCCGATCCAAATCAGCTTGAAGCAATGTCCAGGCCTCTGCACAGGAGAACAAAACTGACAAAACAAGCATTGGTAGCCTCTCACTTTGGTGCCCCGACTTAAACGTTTCTGGGACCAAATGCGGTTCCGACCATTCATTATTCCTGAGGCCAGGCCAATCTGCCGCATGGCATCAGGTCGACATTGTCCATCAGTGGTCTGTGAAGATCCCAGGTAGAGGAATTGCTCCACTGCTTGGACAGTGGAACAAAACGTGCCAATTGGTTACTACTTCAGCACTACCTGCGTGTTAGAGAGCTGGTGATAATCACCAGTGAAACGTCGTTAACTCAAATTGTAAATGTTGTGGGTTTGTTCTCGAAGACACAACCGGTGTGCTAAAGTACAGTCGTAACAAATTGCCACGTTTTTGTTCACGTGACGAAACTTACGAATTGGCTGTGTCGCGTGGAGGTGGGTTTGCGACACATTTACATTTACGCAATCTAACCCACACAAAGCCACGTTATCATGGCCAATCAACGCTCCTCACGAACTTCGTGGTTCGAGTATTTTATAAATGAATGGGGGGGGTGGCAGTGCAAGGCTTTTCGCGTAGCCATTGAAGCCACATGGCCAGACCTAATGCCCTGGACAGTGTGTGAGAGGTTGTAGTTTGTTGAGAGCGAGTGTTAACAATGCTACAATCCACAGTGTTTGCAGTGGCTGCAGTCGGCATTGCGTGAATGTGCCATATGATGATTGCATTTCTTCATTATGTGGAGCACGTGATTATCGACCGGGGTCCAAATTGATACCGAGGATTTCCAAATGATTTGAGAGACTCATGGTTGAGCCAGCGATGAGTAGATTTTGAGGGAGAGACATCATGGTGAGCCACTGCCTGATTCCTAGGAAAAGAGCTTCCGATTAATTATGCGGGGTTTAATATGAGATGATTAGACCAATACGATTTCTGTAAGGTTGAGGTACAATCGGCAAGGTTCATTGGACCCTGATCGGAGTTAATAGTGAGCTATAATTGAGTGTCGTCGTTGCAGGTGTGATAGTTTATGCTGCGATTGTCGATGAGGTGACCGATTGGGGAAACTTAGACTGAGAAAAGGACCCACGATGAACCCCTGATGGACACCTGCAGTGGATGTTACTTTGACGTAGGTACAGTCTGTCAGAGAGATACGATATAAGCCACTGAAGAGCTGTGCCGATTTATAGTGTCAAAGGCAGCATATGTCGAGGCTGACTAGGGAATGAATGAAAAATTAAAATGTAATCGCTAATCGTGAGTGGGCTGGGCGAAGGCAGACAAAGAGGGCAGATATTAGGGGCTCAAGTGAAGTGATATTTGAATTCTGACAAATGCGAGGCACTCTGGACGTTTGGAGATGGTTTATAAGTTGGTGCTGGGGCAGTGGTTTGCTGGGTCATCAGGGTTTAGAGATAGGTTTCATTAGCAGAAGTGTCACTCGGCTCAATTTAAGTGATGAATGGATAACACTGACGGGAATGAGGCACGAGTAAAAGGAGAGGCCATAATTGCAAGTTTGTCAGCACAGTGCATCATGGCACTGTCTGGTAATAGATCCAGAAGAGTTTATTATATTAATAATAATATGTTATATAGCGTCAGTCGTGCGAACGCATCTCACAATGCTGAAGATTAGATGAGAACTTCTTGGGGTGTAACGGTGAGAGGGCTTTTCGAGTGAGGGGAGTAAAGGGGAATGGCTGGTGGTTGATCTTTACAGCTGAAAGATGCACGCTGATGGTGGAGGTGATGCTAGTTCGCTAGAATTTGAGAGCAAGTGAAGATTCGGCCAGGTGATGGCACGCGGTCTCTACTTCGCTGTGATAGAAGATGGCGCGAAGTGCGGACCGCAGTTGACGTGGGCGGTTGACTGCAGAGAACCGTGTTTACGATTGTGTGAAGTGCACGAGGACTGTGATGAGCTTGCTGGTGGCTGCTTTTCAGGCGAGAGATGTGGCTGGCTTCGAGCCCGGGGCATAGGTAGACGGCCTCCGGTCGGCGACTGCTGTGTTTAGATGCAACAGCTGCGGTTGAGAGCCGCGGTTGTCACGAGAGGGGAGCCGGTCGGCGACGCGTTTGACGGGTAATTAAGTCTCAATGATGTGTTTCAGGCTAAGGTCCAGTTGATTGGCGCGGATTGTTGTGTCGGATGATGATACCTCTCTTTCTTGTATGCCCCCCCATCCACTGACCCCCCCCCTCTCCCCATATGCACCCCCCCCCCCGCCACCTTCCCACCCAGGCTCGTCGCGGCGTGTTGGGCGTAGCGCTGGTGGTGGGGGTGCACGGCCCCCCCGAGCGTGGTGCGTGTGTGCGGCGGCCCCCCACTCAGCAGTGTGTGGCAGCGACGGCGTGACGTACCGCAGCGAGTGCGCGCTCTTCGCGGCGCGCTCGCACAGCACCCACCAGGGACTCCCTTCCATCATTGCGCTCCAGCGGGGAGCCTGCGACCCAGGTGGGGGGGGGGGTCTGGGAGGGGTGTGGAGAGTGGGTGCGCAGGGGGGGTGTTTTATGACAGGAAAGCGTGTTTACAGGTGAGTGGGTAGGTGAGTGGGTGGACAAACGAGTGAACTCGTGTTCGTCTAAAGAGTTAACCAGTGAATGAGTGGGCAGGTATGTGGGTGGATAGATGAGTGGACAGCTGAGTGAGTGGGCAGGTGTGTGAGTGAATAGAGTGGGCAGGTGAGTGAGTGGGCAGTTGAGTGACTGGACAGATGAGTGAGTGGGCAGGTGTCTGAGTGGATACAGTGGGCAGGTGAGTAAATGGATAGGTGTGTAAGTGAATAGAGTGGGCAGGTGAGTGAGTGGGTGGGGTGAGGACTGGGATGAGGAGTGGGGTGAGGTGAGGAGTGGGGTGAGGCATGCTGTGTGGACGCAAGGAAAATTATTCCTGTAAACGTAGCTGCGTGCTCCCGTGATCTGTTTTACCCTAGGTATAATACGTTCCACACAGACGGATTTAGGAATCCACGACCGCAATGTTACCTGCCTCTGTGGGGTGATGCACACCTGTGATTCGGCACGTTGAAGGCAAGGTTTGGTGTTTCACACAGAGATCGCCAAGCTTCCAAACTCGCCGAGCTGCAAGGAGGTGGTGGCCAGGAGATGGTAGTGCATCACGCGAATTCATAAATCGATCTGTGTAGACCCCCAGTGCCCCCCCGCCCCCTGCCTCATATACATCGCGGTGATGGGTTTTCTCCGGGTTCTCAAATTTCCTCCTCCCACAGGAAGCCGAACTCTCATTAAAAACGACGAGCTCCAGACCAAGCATCCCAGTGCTGCAGGAACCTCCTGAGAGCGATGCTTAAGATTTATTAAGATTTACTTTGTCTGCAGATATCTATGGAATTCTAATTATCTCGGCCTCGCTGTGCGCTGCGTTGCACCGCTAGTCGAGTATATAACCTTGCGTTCAATAAACCCTCGGAGCCAGGATGAACGTCCAACTCCAATCGTCATTTATTGATTGTAACAAGGTAAAACTGGTAAGAAAACACAGATACAGCATCTGTTATAATCCGGAAACACCAACACAATGAACACCACAGCATCAGAACATTGTCTTAGATAACAATAGATCCTGGATGGACTAGGCCCCTACATTACCACTGAACAACTAGCCAAAAGCACAAGCCGGTGCGTTGCATACAGGCACATCGTGTATTCATCCCACTGCACCCCAAAAGTACAGCATTACACATAACACTAAACTGTGGATGAGATACTTCGTCATCTTTACTCTCATGATGGCAACATAGGCACAAGTCTGACTCGACCTACTAAATCACAAGTAACATCCACAATAAAGAAAGTCGCAGGCTTCGTTACTAACTAGGCCTCGTATTTACTACAACAACTTAACGGCACCATAAAGGTGTAGAGGTGTAATTGCGCATGGCTACGAATGTTGAGGTGTGATTATGCATGGCCACGGATGGCCAACAAACACAAGGGGCGGGGTTACGGCCGTACACAAGGGTGGCGCTAGCACCGACGTCCGCATGTGTATCCCCCACGGGCCCCCCCTCGGGGGCGAGTCCTATAAAAGGTGATGAGCTCGAGGGCTCGAGGTCGGGACTCAGCTTTAACCAGAGAAGACGGAAGACCAGCTAGTGTAGGCCCCAGAGCTCCCCTGGCTCGCTGTCCTTATAAGGGCCGACCAGGGCAAGCCGGTGGCGTGGCCCCGAGAGCCCAGACGAAGCTGGTCTGGTGACTCAGGGAGCCGGGATCCCAGCTTAACCAAGCTGGGACAGATAGCCTCCCCTAGTCCCGTAGTGGAGGAATTGGTATAGGTTGGAGGGGTTAGCTGTCGAGAATCCCTGTAGCCAAGTGACCTGTACAACTGTGTTGGTGTAATAAATAAGTGTGCCTCCGATCCTGTCGTCAAGCCTCCATATATACTTACTACATCTGGGGTCAGAAGTAAACGTCCAACGATGGACACACGAGGGACGACACGTACCAGGGAGTCGGAGATGGAAGACGCCGCGGCCGATTCTCCACCAGTGATGGCCGGGGTCGAATCGGAGCAGCCGGGGCCGAGTACGCCCGCGCCGCTACGACAGGAGGAGGGGGATGCGTCGGCCGAGGGACTCCGGCTGGCCCACTCCCGCCTGGCGGACCTGCTCTACGCCGCGGCCGCCGCGTTGGAGGAGATCACGCGGCTGGGGGCTGGAGGAGCAGCGCGGGTCGACGACGGCAGCCGGCGCGGGGCGACGTTTCCCGCCACCCCGACGCGGCTCGCGGTCAAATTTCCCGCCATCTCTACAGTACGAGCGGAGGGCGGGGCCGGCCCGCGTCACGTGTCTGCTGAGCGCCAAGCACAAGCCGTGACATCATCAACGCCGGCCGGCGCGTCAACATCAGAGCGACCGGCGATGCCATGTGCACGGCCCGCCCACACTGTATCATCGGCGGGGAGCGACGGAGAGCGTTCTGCGGCCACGGACGCCGCCTTACAACAGCGTCTGCCGCCTCTTAAAGAATTTGTCGGCGCTGACGGAGACTGGGGCGGCTTCAAGAGGCGGTTCATCGCTCATCAAGAGATGGCGAACTGGTCGGACGCCGAGGCTCTACGCGCGCTGCCAGCGATGCTGGACAACGACGCCCTGGCTACCCTCACCTCGGCGCCGAGGGAAAAGCGCGCCACTCTACACCTGGCGTTGCAGCTGCTGTCAGCCGTCTATGGGCCGCCTTCGGACTGCAGGCAGCTGTTCCACGATCGGAGTCGGGGCGCCAACGAGTCACCCCTGGCCTTCCGGACGGCTCTCCTGGCTCTGGCAAAGGCTGCTTTCCCAAGGATGGACGAGGAAGGAGTGGATGCCATGGTGGCTGAGAAGCTGCTGCTACTCGCTGACGAGCTGGACGTCAACGTCCTGGCTCAGGACGACGCGGAGATGTCGTCCCTGCTGGTCGCGCGCCACATCCACGGGGGCTTGCGGTCCCTGCGTCGGAAGGCGGCAAAAGGGGGCGGCCGGCCATGCCATGGCGACCACCGCCCTCCCATCGGAGGAGGTCTGCGGGGTGGAGCGGCGAGGGGAATGGAGATCGGCGGCACCGCAGGCTCGGAATGGACCGAGCCGCCAGGAGCAGCCCAGGTCATCTGGGGCGCTCACACGCTGCTACAACTGTGGCCTGCAAGGCCACGTTGCGTCTGGATGCCGGGCTCCCCGTCAGCGCGGGGCGACACCTCGTCAGGACGCCACGCCGTCTCCTCCCAAGCTCCAGCAGAGAAATACGGCGAGTCGCGGCACCTCACACGTTTGGCCCACGCACACATCCGACACACACTCACGCGCTCAACTAAACAGGGCTCCAAATTCCCCGTCCGTCGCGCGCGATTGTTCGGTAATGCGGCGAGCGCTCCAACCGGGTCAGTGGTCGGAGCTCGCCCATCGTGTCGTTGCTGCGTCGGCGGGATCATCGGTCGTGGTCGGTCACATTGATGGGGTAGAGGTGCGGATTTTAATTGACACAGGGGCATCGGCGACCATTATATCTGATTTAATTTATAACATCCTTCCCGTTCAAAGTCGTCCCTTGCTCCCTGTTGACGTGCCGTGCTATGCCGCTAACGGAGGCTCTCTGGGCATTATTGGCCAAATCCGCGCCACTATCTGCATTGGGGACATTAAATTATCCGGCCCTGTTTTGGTTTCCTCCTCACTCGCGGTTCCGTGCCTGTTGGGGACGGATTTTCTGGCCAAAATGCCCATCCGTATCCTTATTGACCAAGGGTGCATTGAGCTCCCATCGGGCCGACGCGTTACATTTCTGTCTTCCCCCACCACGGAGCGTCGGGCGTTTGCCACCGTGCAGGCGCTCGTCACAAAAACTGTGCGCGTGCCTCCGGGGGCTCAGATGCTCGTCCCTCTTAGGTTGCGTCGGTCGTTTGATGCAGGGGTTGCGGATCGGGGGGTCTTGTTGGGTCCATCTCGGGCCGGGGTCAATGGACCCGATTTGCTCGCGGCTCAGACTATGGTGAGAGGGGATGGGGACCCCTTCATTGCAGTCCTTAATGTGGGATCGCGAACGGCCGTGGTTCCTCAAGGGACCGTGCTTGCACACGCAACGCCGGTGCCCTATGAGGAACCACTCGTGGGTCAGGTATCCACCGATCCTCCGTCGCGACCGCATTCGGACTCTGATGACGGATGGCTGGATGCGCTTTGCGCGGGTTCAGTGGACCTGTCTGACTCGCAGCGCGCGCAGCTGCGAGTTCTCCTGAGCGAATTTGCTGACGTTTTTAGTCAACACAAATTTGATATTGGTTGTACAAAATTGCTGCGACACCATATTGACACGGGTGACAGCGCGCCGATCCGCCAAAATCCCTTTCGGTTGAGTCCCGCCGAAAAGGATCATGTCAAATCGGCTGTTGATGACATGCTAGCCGCCGATATCATTTCCCCTTCCACCAGCCCGTGGGGCGCGCCGATCGTTTTGGTGAAAAAACACGACGGCTCACTGAGATTTTGTGTTGACTTTCGGCGTCTCAACAAAATCTCTGTGGCAGATGCGTACCCGCTTCCTCGGATGGATGAGTCGCTCGACGCCTTGGCCGGTGCGCGATTCTTTTCCACCCTTGATTTGCTATCTGGATTCTGGCAGCTTCCTCTGGATGACGAATCGAAACCTAAGACTGCTTTTCGTACACCGCAGGGCCTCTTCCAATTTAACCGTTTGCCGATGGGTTTACATTCTGCGCCGGCAACTTTTCAGCGGTTAATGGAATTGGTCTTGGCAGGTTTGCAATGGGATTCGTGTTTGATTTACTTAGACGATGTCATCGTCTTTAGCAAATCCTTCGAGGAACACCTCCAGAGGTTGCGTGCTGTTTTTCTCAAAATGCGGGCTGCCAATTTGAAATTTAAACCACAGAAGTGCCATTTACTCCGCGAATCGGTGCGATATTTGGGTCACATTGTTGGGCGCTCGGGGATATCCACTGAT